GAAGACCTCAAGATTATCCATGCGATCATGCATTCGGCCCCAATCAATTGGGCAAAGTTTGTCATGATCAACATGACGATCGCCGCGTCCACCGACCATGATCACCTCCTCCCGTACCCGTTTTTGGTGATGGACATCCTTGAACGGTTCAAGGTAACCACCACCGTTGGCCCGCTCACGAAGGCCACGAAGATTTGGACAATAAGCAACCAAACCTTCATCAAGCGGTTGGACAACGCCGCGGCTGCCACTGCCGAGCAACGCCACACTGCCCCTGCCGCTGGCCCAGCCGAACCCCAGGCCCGGGCCAACCTTGCCTCCATTGCCGACTCCCTCAACCGGCTACACCTCAAAGTTGACGGGATGGGTGGCTACCTTGAACGGCTCGACGTAGCTGTTCAACGCCAAGGGTACGCCATGAACGCGTACTTCCAAGGCATCAACTACGTCCCCCTACCGTACCACGGCACGTTCCTTGGGCAAGTGTACGGTGACGAAGACGAAGCCGATGACTCCTACGCCCCGTCAAGCTCCCCGGATGAAGACGAGTTCGACGATGCCATTGATGGTGATGAGATGGACGTTGACGACGACGAGGAGGAAACCGAAGACGAAGCCTAGAACTCCCCTAGCATTTCTTTCTTTTCTTTCAATTATCCTATTTTTAATGCTTCCGTTGTACTCCGCTATTTCCCTTTATTAAATAAAATCATTTCGTTTATCTTTTTGTTAATGTCAAAAGGGGGAAGAAAAGGGCTATGCATATACTAAGGGGGAACGTCTCTATAAACGAGACCGTTTGATTTTAATCCAACTAAATTTTTTTAAGCACAAATTAAGGGGGAACTTTTTCTTCACAACTTTTGAAAAAAAATACCCCTTAGTATGCATATCCCCGTCTCGTTTGCCATTATCAAAAAGGGGGAAATTGTTGGAACACGGGTTTACGCCTACGTCGTACTAAACTGTGTTCGTTTTTATGACAGGTTTTGATAATGCCAAACCGCCGCGACACATCAAAGCTAAAGTGAGCAAAACTAAGGCGAAGAAACATGGCATGATGACTAGAGAACCAAGAACCCAGAATCAAGAACGAAGAATTAGAATTGCATTGAGTCGGTCTTAATGTGATCAAGACCGGCACAAAATTCCAAATCTTGGCTCTCTAGGCTCAACCCATAAAAATCTCTTTTACTTATTCAAAAATATTTTTCTTAAGTTTTAAACTTGGCTCAAAACACTTGGAGTTCGCCCAAACCAAAAACCAAGCCATCTGGCATTCGGTTTTCAGAAACCGGCGTTCGGCTATCGGTTTTCAGCATTGGTTTTTGGCGTTCGAACCAACCAAGTGGTTTTCAACTTTTTATGACTGGTTTTTACTTCTGGGCATATTTAAATAGTTCTCCAACAAAAACGTCTCAAAAACCACTCTCCGTTTTTAGTCGTTTAGTGAAAACCATGCGAAACGGCACGAACTTGGTTAGCCGTGGCTTTCAACTAAATGACGTGGTTTTTTAAGATGTTTTACTTGATTTCTTAGTAAAATGCAATAAAAAAATATATTCTAAACTTGGTTTTTATTTTTGGAGAACTTGCGTTTTTGACATCGGCTAACGGCGTGACTAAACAAACCATGGGTCTGGCTAAACCAGCCCAACAGCGATGTTGAGGTAATCAACAGCGCTGTCTGGCCTGGGTAGCTAAAAACATGGTTTGGCGTTAAGTCTTCCAACAGTGATGTTGGACATTAGACATCGCTGTTGAGCCAAGGTTGGATTTCCAGAAACTTCTGGAACAGCGATGTAGGCTTCCCTACAGCGCTGTCTAACCTAAGCCAAAAATATAGTGCATTGGCAGAAAGTTTTGTGACAGCGATGTTGACCCAGCAACAGCGCTGTCTGGCCAAAACTTCCATCCTCAAAGGCAGACCTAAACAGCGATGTTCTAGTATGGAACATCGATGTAGAGACCTGACCGTTGGAAGGAATTTAAGGCTAAAACTTTCCCTGTTTGGAAGTCAACAGCCAAAACAGCGATGTAGGGATTTTAGACATCGCTGTTGGCATGACCGTTGCTTCCCATTTTTCAAACGCAAGCCTAGAACAGCGATGTCCAAGCCTAGGACAGCGCTGTCTGGGTGAATTTCAATAGATCCAAATTTCATCAAATCCCACAAATTATGCCAATCACCCCTTAAATACTTTGGTCCGTTGGAGCCTGTTTTTCTACTATAAAATGGGGTGTTTGGGTCTGTTTTACATATCACATTACTTCACAACTCCTACTCTTTCATTGCAAAGCATTCTTCAATTTTTCATAGCTTTTGAGAGCCACTTTTGTGAAGCTTGTGTTGTGTTCTTGAGCGTTCTTAGTTTACTCATTATCCACTCTAAAAGAGAGTATTGTTCTTGAGTGTTTTTAGTGTTCTTAGACACTTGACAAGAGAAGGTTTTTCTCTTGTTGTTCGAAGGAAGGGCTGTTTCCTTCGAAGGTTCGTTGAGGTTCGTGTGACTCGAATTCTCAAGTTGTACGGGTTTGTTAAGCACCGTTAAGCTTAACGAGATAGTAGTGTAGCTCGANTTCATAGCTTTTGAGAGCCATTTTTGTGAAGCTTGTGTTGTGTTCTTGAGCGTTCTTAGTTTACTCATTATCCACTCTAAAAGAGAGTATTGTTCTTGAGTGTTTTTAGTGTTCTTAGACACTTGACAAGAGAAGGTTTTTCTCTTGTTGTTCGAAGGAAGGGCTGTTTCCTTCGAAGGTTCGTTGAGGTTCGTGTGACTCGAATTCTCAAGTTGTACGGGTTTGTTAAGCACCGTTAAGCTTAACGAGATAGTAGTGTAGCTCGAGAGAGTCTCTCGGGAGGCTGGATTAGCCACAAGTTGTGGTGAACCAGGGTAAAATCCGTGTGCATCTTTACTTCTCGTTTATTCATTTTTTATTCCTGTGATTTCTTGATCAAACGCTATTCACCCCCCCCCCCCTCTAGCGTTGGTCTATTATTCTAACAAACTGCTCTTGATAATCTCCATCTGATGGATCTTCATCGTTTTCTTCTTCTTTAGTAGTGTGGCTATGGAATGCAATCTGTGTGAGACTCTTCTTTTGCTTGATTTCCTCGTTCATTTGGAGCTCAATGGTCTCAAGATTTCCCATCAGCTGATCAAGTGTCATGTTCTTTATGTCATGTGCTTGACGAATGGCTTTGGCATCCATTGCATAGCTCTCAGGTAAAGCTCTCAGCACCTTCAACACTAGACTATCTTCTGTGAAGGGCCTCTTCAGATTCTCAGCCTCATTTGCCAGTTCTCTTACTCTCCCATGAAATTCTGCTATTTTTTCTTTATCATCCATACGCAGATTCTCATATTTAGTCATAAGAATCTGTAGTTTAGTAGTTTTTACTCGTTCATCTCCTTCGTGAGTGGTTTCGAGGATCTTCCAGGCCTTCTTTGCTTCAGTGCAATTTGAAATGAGTCGGTACTGTGAGCTATCAACTGCCCCAAACAGTGCATTGAGTGCCTTATCGTTGCATTCAGCCCGTGTTGCTTCTTCTTTTGAGTATTTCTCAAAGGATTTTGCCACCTTCTCTCCTTCTGTGTTGGTCTCTGCGGGTTCTGTCCATCCGGTCTCTATGCTTCTCCATACTCTTCCACCTTGAGACTTTAAGAAGGCTCTCATGCGTCCCTTCCAAAAATTATAGTTTGGTCCTCGTAACAGTGGTGGTTGTTGGACATTAGCACCTTCCTCCATGTCTCCCATTATTGATCAAGCTAGTAACTTAAGCTTAACCGCTCTGATACCAAATGAAATTGTTATAGTGATTCTAGTCACAGGAGAAAGTATTCTCTGTGAACAATTCTAGTCTATCACACACACACTTAGATCGTTGTGATAAGCAAAGTGCTAAAACACTCCCTCTGTCACAACCAGTCACACGCAGCAAGAGAAATAAAAACAGTAAAACAGACACAAGAATTGTTTACGCAGTTCGGAGCAATTCTCCTACTCTACGGGGCCCACGTCCGTGTAATAGCCCGTCTACTAAATCACTGCAAAGATTACAACTTCAACCACCGTAGGTACCAGTTAGTGGATTGAACTAATCTACTACAGATGACTTAAACACATAACTCTGTTAGTGTTTCTCCCAATGGCATATTACACCAACCTTGATAACTTCTGTTATTGGACGTGCTGACAGCCCTTTCTCCAGCACTTCTTAGTTCACCAGCTGGATGTGGTTTTCATCAAAACCAAACATGGATTTGCAATATGATCTACGAACCGGCCAGAAACTTCTTGTGCTCACAACATCACCATATATCAAAAAGAACCGAACATGGTTCTCTTCTGATCTCCTTTTGCAGCTAGGGCTTTTGGCTCTCTCAATCTCTCGCTAGAAATATTTCTCCGTACTCTCTCACCTTCACCAACGTGAGATCATATCTATATATATAGGAACATATGAGAACCCTAGTTATATCTGCACTTGAACTCTTTGGCAACTGACATTCCTAGACTGCATGGGTCTCTATTTCAGCTTCGTAGGAATCTCTAGAATTTCAGCTTCGTAGGGATCATCTCCAACTCGTATAGGGAAACATATGCATGACATGGCAGGACTCTACACCCAAACAGCTATTGCGTACAAAAAACAAACATTCCTATTTATTTGTTTTTGTCACAAGGATAAGGCACTACAAAAAAAGAAGGCAATACCGACAGGGGTCAATATGTCGCTAATGGTTAAATATCTGTCGCTACTCGCTTTTACCGACAGATAATTGTCTGTCGCTAAGCTGTCGCTAAAAACTCCGTTAGTAAAAGTATTACCGACAGATAAAATATACTGTCGCTAAAATAGTGTAATAGCGACAGACCAAAGATGTCGCAAAAACAGAGAGAAGTACCGACAAAACATATATGTCGCTAAAAAAATGAATTACCGACAAAACAAAGTGTGGGTAAATCCTTCTTTTCTGTTGGTAATACCTTGTTTTTACCAACATTAACATTTATTATAACTGTCGCTAAAAGTTATATTACTAACAAAAAAATCTGTGAGCCAAACATTTTTTTCTGTCGGTAATAGCTTATTTTAACCAACATTTACATTTAATATAATTGTTACTAATACCAACTATTTAAGTGATATTAAATAATTTCATTGACAGATAAAAAATAATATTCATACTTGTATTAACAACAATACATAATACGATAACATTTCAAAGGGTTACAACTAACCCATTTACTAGAATGTAAACCAACATCATTTAAGCTAAAGTATAAACAATCAAAGTGAACTAAAATAAAATACGCATCGATATGAAAGATATAGTCCAAAGCTTTAATGCTTGTCACTGTATAAATCTTCAAGTTCATCACTCTCAGGTTCATCATCTTTGTTCCATCGATCCTCATCACGACTTTTCTCAATGGTTGTATTACCACCAGTTGTAAGGTCATTGATTTCAGATTGATTAGCTTTTGAACCCTATGCAAAAAAAAAAATAAGCACATGATAACGTAGTTGCATATTTTGCACCAAATTTACCTTATACTCATACTAGGTGGCATAACTTTAAACTATATACGTAGTAATGAACTAAACAAAAATTAAATGAAATATATGGGTAGTTAACAGTAAAAAATAGAGACTAACCAGGCTATTTAAAAGCAATGACACTACATCTTCTAAATTCTGGAGTCTCTCTTTTGTTTCTTCATGCTGTTGTTCAATTTTCAATCTTTTTGCTTTCTCCTCCTTCAAGGCGCACCGTTTAGTACAAGATCGAGGCACTCTCACTCCCATACCAAAGGTCTTTGCATATCCATTTTTGTCTTCTGATCGAGTAAGATAATGGCCAAATGACACGGGAAAAATAGAATCTGCATTCTCAGGCCAAAAACAAATCTTTAACAAGCTGGTAATAAGAAACCAAACCTGCAATATAAACCTAAGACCCTTATATGATAAAGAGCTTTCATAAAAACCAAACATGTTCTCTTAAAGTTAAACCATAATGAAATGGCAGTGACAAGATATGTTCAGAATCTCTCTTTACTTCAAAGAACTACATTCACTTTTCTAGCTCAAGTCAGTTTCATGTAGATATCAAATTGTTCTCACACAATACTAATCTCAGAATGCAAACTCTGCCACACAATAAAAATACATTATGGATTCAATCAGACTGTTACAAGTTATATTACCCTTGGAGATTAAAATTCAATATCTATAAACACAAAAAGTTACATGTCCAGATGTAAAGAAAACTAAAAATCTTCAATGATCTATTTATTACTAGCAAATAGCATTCACATCCTGGAACGTTTCAATCCAAACCTTTTAAAAGTGGTGAAAGTGAACACCCCTCAATGGTAATAAAAACCTAAGTATGTGAAATAACATTAATATACAACAAACAGTCATAGCCTATATTAAATTCAACATAAGAAAAAAATCTCACAAAATAGGATTAAAAACACATTAAAATCTTTCAAGCCCTAAAACATTCATAATTAATCATACTCAAATTGAACAATAAAATCCAAATCAAGACATAAACGAAGAGGAAATTTAATAAATTTATGCACTTGAGGACTATACCTTAGAAAACATCCCTAATGCTAGATTTTTTGGGATAAGGCTTTGTATAGGGTGCTCTTCATCTCCAAGTCGTTGCCGGTGGTAGTGTCTCAAGATTATCCCTCTTAACGTTCCCCGTCGCTAAATGATACTTCGTACCCTAGCCTAGTAGCCTCGGCATCTTCTCGTTGGTTACTAACTGCTAGTGTTCCGAACCCTAGTCCTGGCATCATCTCGTTCCTATTGTTGCGATCTTTGTTCTCCCATCTCACAAATCGAAGAAGAAGACGAAGAAAAATGAG